AATCATGTTTAACATCCATGGGTCACAGAGCTAGAAGATGATGTTCCAAGTTGTTTATCGTCCTTTCCAGGGTGAGGAAGAGTGAGGAGAAATAAGCAGAGGGCTTGTGCTTGTTGCTTGAAGTACTTTTGCGTGAAAGGCAAAGGTGGCAGAGTGAGTCCCAAGTGTGGGAATCATGGGGGCCAGTTTCAGATCCACTCCTCTGTGTAAAGCTGCGTGACCTTGGACAAGTCACTGCCTTAGGATGTTTCATACCCTGGAAGGGGTGATGGAGCTTTCCCAGGCAGCCTCCTAGCCACATCCCAGCTCCCCACTTGCTGTGTGAGGCTTGGTTTCCTCTTCCAGGAAAATGGGGACAGTAGTCCCCAGGCCTGTGGGTAGAGGTGATCATAATTACAGTGAGGTCTGTCAAACCATTACTTAATGTCAGGCTGACATGTCAGCAGAGAGCTCAACCTCCATACCTCAGGAAGCCTCTCAGGCAACCTTTTAGAGTTGAGGAAACTGGGCCCAGTGAGGTGAAGGGACTTGCCCGCGGTTGCTCAACTGTGGAGAAGCAGAGCTGGGATTTTAGCCCTGGCAGCTCGGCTCTGCACCAGGCTCACAGCCACAGCCCAGAGGTCCCCCTGTGCCCGGCCCTGCCCACAGGAGAAGCAGGACAAGGCGGTGCTGCAGTCGGAGGTCGCCAGCCTGCGGCAGAACAACCAGCGCCTGCAGGAGGAGTCGCAGGCCGCCAGTGAGCAGCTGCGCAAGTTCGCGGAGATCTTCTGCAGAGAGAAGAAGGAACTCTGAGGTGGAGAGGCTGCCGCCCCACCCCTCCACGCAGGCAGCCCGTGGGCTCCTGCTGTCTCCCTCAACTGGATCCCAGCGGCAAGTGTGACCAAGTTAATCCTACCAGGGCGCCACTGTCCTCCCCTTGGACCCAGAGAGCCCAGATGGCAGAGGCCTCCCCGGGGCTGTGAACCGGGATCTGCTCCTGGTCCTCAAGCCCCAGAGGGCCGGTGGACTCAGGCCTGCCTCTGATCGCCCCTCTCTGGTCTCGGGGGACTGGCCATGCCTATCCCACCCTCCGGGGGCCCGTCCTGCCCCCTCACCCAGCCGCTTCCTAGGACCAAGCCATCAGAAGCTGCGGGAAGAGGAGAAGGAGGGCAGGAGTGAGTCTCCAAACCTCACAGCTCCAGGAATCCACAAACCAGGTTTCTTCACCACTCGCAACTGGATTTGGGCTTGTGGGGCCCAGCCCCCTATATGAAGTCACAGCATGAAACTCGCCCGTTCTTCCCCAGGCCCCAGAAAGATGAGGGCCTGTGTGGAAATGGACCAGGGTGTTCTCAGTCCTGGTGCACTAGCTCCAAAAAGCACGAACACTGTCCCCTCCCTCCCCTATCCTTCCAAAAAGCAGCCAGGAGCACTTAGAGTTTCAGTTATTTTCTTAGGGAGTCCCAGGATGGAGAAAGGAAACCCCAGCATGGAATCAACTTCTTTGAAGGGAAAACTCTGTTTGCACACTCGGGACCATTTATACAGTCTTTTTTGAACAGCTCTCAACCGCCAGAGGCCACGGCACCTGGGCCCCTCCACCTTGGAGCTACTGCCCCCATGAGGCCCAGGTGCAGAGCCCACATGGCCCCAGCCCCAGCCACACCCACCAACCTCGCAGCCACGGCCCCCTTCTGCACACCAGGAGGCTCCACGGAGCCCCGAGGTCAGGGCTGGAGAGACACAGCCTTCATCTCCCAGTTTTGTTCTCCCTTCACAAGTCCCTCAGCCCATCTTGCAGGCCTCACAGTGGCAGCAACATTGAACACCCTCACTGTGCTCCCTGGGGAGCGCTCTGCTCTGCAAAACCCCATGAGGCACTGGTTCTCTAAAGGCAATAAGGGGCAGCTTGCCAGGCAGCCAAGCTGGTGTGGTACTACACTGTTCACCCAGGAAACAGAGCTCTTTCTTTTAAAAACAAATATATATATATATATATATATATATATATATATTTATTTTTTCATGTAGAGTTGCACCAGAACAAGTCTGTATGGCCACAATCTGTGGATTCTCCCACCTCAAGCTGAGGACCGAGGCATGTCACATGTGGGCCGGGGCTCAGAGGGATAAAGCCAGCGGGGGCAGGCAGGCCAGCCAGCGTGCCTTTCTGGGAGGCACCAGGTGTGGGGAGTGGACACCAGGCTCAGAGCAGCATACTCCTGGCTGGTGACCAGTGCCAGGCTGCCTAGCCCTTGTCCAGAGACCCCACCACCTTCTCTTTGGGGCCAGAAACCTCAGGGAAGGGCACTCTGGGGACTGCACCCAGCAAGGGAAGTGGGGGAGACACATCGGTCTTGATCAGCCAGCACCCCCTCTCCCTTGCCCGTGGTGTGAGATAGGGGATGCTCGGTCCTCAGCCCTGGCCAACTACTGTGATGTCTCTACCCCTCTTCCCAGATCCCATTCTCAGAAGGGCTCTCCAGGACCACCCAGCCCCTTTTCATAGACCCTGACCTGGAGGCCATCCCTCCTCTCCCTTTTTCACCTCATCAGATCATTCAAATCACTTGGGGGACCTAATCATGTACATTCACAAGTGTAAATTATGATTTTGCCTTTGTGTTTTGTTATTTTTTAAGGATCTCTGCAAAACAAATTATTTAATTTGAGGATGTTCTATCTGATGGCTGAAGATAGGGGTTTTTCATATGTTGATTTGTTTCATTTGGATTTTTTATTGTTCCTTATTGTCTTTTTTTTTCAATCCCTGTCTTGAGATTTTCTGGCATGTTTCTGGAGGTTTCAAAGGAAATAAATGTTTCATAGAAATGGCTCATGTGTTCAGTAGTTGGGCAGCCGCCTGGAGTCACTAACGAGAGGGTGTGGCCCAGCGTCAGCCTCCTCCTCCCCCCTTGTCCCAAACACCATCAGCACGTGTGTACAGACACGCACACACACACGTACACGCACTCCCCTAAGAATCAGGAACACAAGGCTTGCACAAACTGCTTTTGCTTGAAATCCAAATGACAGAAATCCCACACTCAGAATGTAGAAAAGTCCTAAAGGTAAAGAGAAGGGGAGATTCCTACCTCAGAAGTATATGCTGGAGGCCTGAAAGCCGGACCTGGGCCAGGGTGTTGCACTGCTTTTAGAATCAGTGGTCCTCAGCTTTTAAAATTCTGGACATTGTACGAAAAGCTGAATTTCCAGCTTGGGAAATCTGTTCTTTGCGGGAAGACTCAGAACAAAGGGGCCCCTGCACCCTTTGACTGGGCTGTGTCCCCACCACCAGCTTACTTGTATCCACCTGCCACCACCATCATCAGTGGGCGGACGCCTCCTGCTGCCAGTCATCTAGTTGGTGATTTGGGATGGAAAGCAGCCCCTGGGAGCACAGTGAGTTGGAGGTGTCAGGAAAAGATTCCCGTGACCTCAGCACTGGCCAGGCCTGCTCTAGGGGCTTTGCTGAATCTGGGGACATCTTAAACTCCTGGCCCCCGGCTGCAGCTGCCCTGGTAAACGCTTGCAGTTTGACCCAGGGATGGGGTCAAATCGATTTTCTTAATCTGAGCACCAGCCCAGCTCCTTGACAGGGCCAGGTGGCTGGGTTTTTCTGGCACCTCACCCATTTACCTGTCACTGAGTTTTTCATCTCTCTCAGCTAAAACCTGATGCTTCTCTGATTCAGACCCTACCTGCTACCAAAAAAGATCTTTCTCTGAAATGAGATCTTTTTCCACAGAAGGTGGACCAGCTATTTCCACATCTTCTAAAAATTCTTGAGTGTTCCAGACATACTCCCTGTCTCCACCCTTCTTGAGGCCCCATCCTCAACCCGGGCTGCCCTCCCCAACCCGCATGGAAGTGGTGGAACAAGCTGTTCTCATATCCTCTCCTGGCACCTGAGACACACACCAGCTTCTAACACCCCACAGGCCGCACACGCCAGCCCACAGTCTCACCCTTCTCCATCTTTCCTCAGTTCTCAGCTTCCTCTGCCTCGTCCCCTCTGCCCCCCACAGGTGCAGACCCCTAGTCTCTCTCTCCCCCCACCTAATCTCTGGCTCTTCTCACCCAATCTGAATTCCTACCTTGGGCTTCTTCCAGATTTTTCTGTGGTCCCTCTAAATTCTTTGTCCCCCACAAATTCTCTCCTCTGAAGTCTCATCCCTCTGTGTCACTCTCCTAGTATGCTGCCTGTCTCTGGATCCTAACTATCTCTCCCCGAATGTGCCACCCCTCTGACTCTTTTTCTCCTTGCCTCCCCTCATCCACTCTCTCTGCTTCTCTCCAAATCACTGTCTACTTCCTCTGGCCTCCTCCCAATGCATGTAGTTTTCATTACTATTATTTCCTCTCCTTAATCTCCATCTCTCTTCTCTTTCCTCATAATTCCTGAGACTCTCCTCATCGAAATTGCTCCCCAGATCTGTTTATTCCCTTCTCTGCTCTCTCCTGCTCTCTTTTTGATTGTAAATTTGTGACTATCTGTGTCTCTCCAGATCTCTGTGGCCTGGTTCTCTCCCCCTCACCCCGCCTCACCCAAATCTGCCTCTCCCAGTGTCCCTGGGTCTGTCTTCCCTCCTTTGCTCTCTGCCCTCTGGGTTGGGGGAGCCCCAGGTGATGTCGGGCGAGGATGAGGTGCTCCTGGCAGCCCCGCTCCCTGCCTCCGCCCCGGGAGAGGCCTGCCGGCTTCCTCTTCCCTTCCCCCAGTCCCCAGCTCCCCACCTCCCTCTTCACTGCCTCCCGCTGCAGCTGCAGCAGTCCGTTGCCAGGGCAACCACAGCTGGCTGGGCGGGAGCCCCCTCTCCCCCATCCCCCCTCTTCTCCTTTCTGGCGAGGCTGGGAGAAGCTGGGACAAAGCCAGCGAAAGGCGGGGTGCAGGGGAGAGATGGAGATGGAGGTAGGGCCAGCCCCAGCTGTTAACCTCAGTTGAGGCTCCCCCAGCAGAGCCTCCAGGTTCCCCTTCTGGGTGACACCCCAAACCAGCCTGGAGAACGAGGCAGTCCTGGGCAGAGGAGTCAAGCCCAGTTTAATACACAGAACAAGTTAATTCACAGCAGAGGCAGGCAATGAAGGAGACTCATTTACAAGGCAGGGCATGCCTGGATCCGGGGAGACCCCCAAACCCACCACCTCTCCTGCTTGCAGTCTCAGTTTCCCTTTTTTTAAAACCCAAACAACAAACACAACCACAAGAAACAACCACGCCCGTCACTACCCCAAAATGGCCAGTGAGCGTGGCCAGGGCAGCCTGGCCTGGCCGGTGGGGAATGGGGGCAGAGGAAGGAGGGAAAACAAGTCCGTTGCAGAGTCTGTGCTTCTCATTCCAGCAGGCGCTGGGCAGGGGCTGGCCTTGCCCCACTGGCGACGCCCACCAGCCGCGGCAGACAGGGTGGGCACGGGCGGGGCTCTCAGGGCAGGAACAGACTTCAAAACCATGGGTCACATCATGCAGTATCCGCAGTGGGCACCAGGAGGGGGCGAGGGGTGGACACCACAGCCCCTTGCCCTGGGCACAAGGCAGGAATGGTGCCCACCTTGGGTGGGAGATGGGACAGCTGCAACTCCAGAAATGAGGAGAAGGGCCTCTAGGCAGGAAGCTGGCATAGACGGTGCCAGGTGAATGTGCTCAGCACAGCCCCCTCTACCCAGCCAGGCCTTAGAGGACTCTATATATTAATTTCTTTTTTTTCTTTTTTTTTTTAACTTTTTGACTTTTTCTTTAGAAAAAGGCTGTATCCATTCCCCGGGCTGGCATCCATCACCCCCTCATGCCCGCCCAGAGGCGGGGTATGGCTTTGAGGGGAGCAGAAGCCCCTGGTGCCCATGTGCCAAAGGGTGGGGAAGGAGGGAGGGAGGGAGGGAGAGGGGCCTTGCTGGCCCCCCAACCCAGAGGGCAAACATTCCACTTGCACAGAGGGAAGGGGTGGCCCAGCCCCCTCAGGCTTTCCCTCTCCTCCTCCCACTGTGGGGCATTAAGGGGGAGGCGAGAGTAAAGGCGCTCCGAGAGGAAGGCAGGCAAGCACCACCCCAGAGGTCCGGGGGGCCAGAACCAGGCCTAGGTGAGGGTGATGTAGGCAGAGGCCTTCTCTTTCAGGTGCCGAAGACAGAGGTGACAACTCCAGCTCCCTGGGGGTGGCCACAGGACAGGGGGTTAGGTCCAGGTCGGGTGGGACTGGCCCAACCCCTCCCGTCCAGCCAACCCTGTCTACACCAGCAGGACAGCTTTCCAGCCAACCCACCCCCGTGTCATGCCCACCTCTTCTCTCACCTTCCGGGGGCTCCGCCATGGGGGGACTCAGGCAGTACATGTGGTAACCCCGATCGCAGTCATCACAAAACAGCAGCTGGTCCTGGGAGGTGAGACCCGCCCAGCTGGCACCCTGGGGGCACGGGCACCAGAAACCGGGGTGGGGGGCTGGGGCAGGGGCTAGGTCAAAGGGGCAGGGGAAAGGGTCCCTTCCACAATAAAGGTGTCCGAGAGGTGTCTTTGCCTCACGGAATCTTTGCAAAACCCTGCATGGCCAAGCAGAACACCCCTGTGACCTAGGAGTTTGCAGTTTGTCGTGTGGGTCTTATAGGTGGCATGAAACACTTCACAGGACCCTGGGATTGTCTGATACCAGCTCTAGAACAACAGGCATGAGTTCAGGTCCCAGCTCTACTATTTCCCTACTACTTCGCCTCGCTGGGTGACCTTGGGCAAGTCATTTCCCCTCCTCTGAGCTTGGTTTTTTCTCTGAAGTGGGAACAAGAGCACCTACCTCAGAGGGCGGTTGGGAGGAGTCAGAGAGATGAAGTATTAAGTGCCAGGCTCAACTAATGGACACTAACAATAATAATAATACAGGTTACTAGTGTTCACCAGGGAGGGGCACCAGGGAAAGGCGTTAGGCCCAACTGGCAAAGGCAAAGGTACCAGGTGGGGAGGTCGCGTGGGGGTACATCCCGGGGGAGGCAGGCAAGTGGGTGGGCACTCACGTCGTTCTCCGAGGTGCCACACAGGCTGCAGGACTTGCACTCAATGCACTGCCAGCGGTAGGTTCGCACGGCTGCCGTCATATTCACCGTGAACTGTAAACACGAGGGGTGTCCTGGGGGCCGAGGAGCAGGGATGCGGTTAGCGGTCACCGTGCCCTTGCTGACCCCTGACTCTGGGGAAGAACTGGCCTGGCCCCCACCCTTGGCTCATAAGGCCAGGAGAGCTTCTGTGGCCCACAGCCTGACTCCACCCTGCCCACAGTGCCCAGAGACAGAACTGCAAGCAGGCCACCAGTCTCCTACCCAGCCACCATGGCAACCACATTCTGCTCCCCTGAATACCATGGCAACCGCATTCCATTACCCACAGTGCTGTGGCAACCACTTTCTCCCACCCACAACACCAGGGCAGCCACATTCTGTTAACCACTGCATTGAGGCGGCCACATTCCATTACCCACAGCAGAATGGCCAGCCGGTTCTGTTAACCACAGTAACGTGGCAGCCACATTCTCCTGGCCACAATGCCATGGGAACCACCTTCTGCAGTGGGGTCCCCACACCCTGGTTCCCTGCAACCTGATGTCAGTGCACTAGTGACCCCAGCACAGAGACTCCTGCAGCCACCACTTCAGTGCCACGACAACATTCCACCAGACCCGGTTGCCATGACTACCATCTTGCACTCCCCACAGTACCATGACAACCACAATTCATGACCCACTGTGCTGAGGCAACCGCTGTCTATTCCCCACAAGCCCACCATGGGGAAGAACATTCTGTTCACCACAGCTCCATGGCCAGCACCCTCTGTTAGCCACAGTACCCAGGCAGTGGCAATCCATGGCTCGTGATCACAGGCCACTACCCACAGTGCCCTGGCCAACCAGCTTTCACTATGCCCCACGCCACAGTAAGTGTGGCCCACTACCCGCAAGGCCACGACAACCACATCCACGTAGTCCCTGGGCCTCCCTGACCCCGCTCATGATCCCACAGGCATCAGCGGTTGAATCAGCTCTACCGGCTGTGGATCCCCTCACTCCTCTGCCTTCCGGCCTCCAGACCTGGCCTCCTGGAGTCCTTGCCACCCCAGCCCCTGTAATCTTAGGGGGCATCACCTGATCTCCCACAGTCAGCACAGGAGATGAGGTCTTCGGGACACCCTGTCTTCTTGGAGCCACCCAGACAGAAGTCACAGTAGCCATTGGGGATGACAGTGCCATCGGGCGCCTTCTTGGCTGAAAAACAGCAGGCAGGGGTTGGCACACGCAGACAGGGGCACCCAGTCTCGGCTGCCGCGGAGGCAGGGGCAGAGGGAGCATCCCTACCTGTGTGTTTCCTCTGTGCCTCAGGGACCCAGGCCAATTCTTTGTAAAACTCTGGGAGTGGGGGGACAGAGAGAGGGGCTCTCACCATAGGTAAGGCTCCACCCTGCCCCCAGCCTCAGCCCAGGGCTGGACTCCTTTCTCCAGGCATGGGGGAGGTGGGGAGAGAGAGTAGCTCCCCTGAGTGGTGGCCAGTATGTAGCAAAGGAGAGTTGGGGAGGCCAAGTAATTATCAGGAACTACGCAGCTCTGGGGACAACTGATTTGTCCTCTTTATTAGGCAAAAACTTGGCAAATACAGCCCTACAAAGGAGCCCCCTGCCTCTCCACTCATACATACTCCTACCACACAACCAGTGCCAGCAAAGCCCCGACTAGATAGAAATCGTGTAGAATGCCACTAGCCAAGATCTAGTATGGAAACAGATATTCACAAAACAAATTCTGAACAGAGGTGCCTGGGTGTGCTCTCCCTACAAGGGATGAGTGTGAAGATAGTTTCTCCACTGGCGGAGACTCCCCCCAAGCCCTCCCGGTCCCTCAGCTTCTGGGGCTGGCATGGGCTTAGCATGGGTAATGGACGCCAAGGGCACCCAGGCCACACATCCTGCCCCCTCGGCCAAAGCTTAGCAAAGAAGGGAGAAAGGGAAGCAGACAGGGAGGGGAGTCATCTATCACCCCCTCCCCAAGCTCTAATTGAAACAATAAATCAGACCCAGAAATATTACGCCCGGCCGGGAGCAAGGGAGAGAGATGGTTGGTTGCCATGGCAACCCCAGAGCCAGCATCCCCATGGTTGGTGGGGGGAGGGGACCACTGAGCTGGAGATTTTCCAGAAATGTCTAATGTGCCCCCTCCCTCCCTGGCTCCACAGCCCCCTCCCCCAGGGCCCCTCACCACCCCGCAGCCGGCCTGCTTGCTCACGTTTATGGTTGTTTTTCCGGTGGAAGGGCAGGGCATGGCGTTCAGCGTTCTCTTCCCCCTCCTCCTCAGCCAGGTGGGTGTGGGTGTAGTGGTAGCTGAGCCCCGGCCGGTTCTTATACCGTTTCCCACAGACTGGAGAGCGAGCAGGGAGGGCCAGTCAGCCCTCCCAGACCATGCTGCCTCCACCCTGGCCTCCGGGATCACATCTCCCCCTCTGCCATAGGCCTGAGCATCCTCCCCCAACCAGGGTCCAGAACAGGGGAAAGGGGCCAGGCAGGGAGTGGTCTCTGGGCCCCACTCTCTCTCTTTCCCCCTCTCAGAAGGACTCACTATCACAGACATACGGCTTGTCTCGGTCCTCCAGGGAAGCGGTGTCCTGGCGTTTCCGGAGACCCCCGATGCCATACGCCTGGGGAAGAGTCGGGAGTGAGGGGACAAGAAAGGGAGGCGACTGAAGAGTTTTCATCATTTGGGCCTGAAAGTTGAGTCACAGCTCTGCCCTTCCCTAGTCATGGGCCTTGGGTTCCTCCCCTGACCTGTGTTCAGTTTCTCATCTGTAGCACAGATATGAAGATAGATCTACCACACTACACTGTACCATCTCTGTTTTGCAATTGGTTTGATATATCCCAGCCTCAGTTTCCTCATCTGTAAATGGACATAAAATTCCGTACACCGCCTCCCTCAGGCTGCTCTGGGGATTAAACAAGGTCAAACTGGGGCAAGGTTTGACCATCAGTCATGCTCAATTAATGGGATCTGCACTGAGGGAAGGGGTGTTGGAGAGAAACCTTGCAGTGGTACCTTTCCTTTGGCCCTGTTCTTCCTCCTGGGAATGTCATCTTCCAAGTCTTCCACCTCAAGATCATGCGGAAACTCCAGCAGCTGCTGTTTCTGCACCAGGAAAAGGGAGAATGGGATCAAGAAAATGGGGACAGTGTACTGCTTTTGAGGGGTTTCTGGGCATTGCTGCAGATTAGAGGTCACAGGGCAAGTCAGGAGGCCCTCCAAAAAAGAGATGAGGTGTGGGCGGATGGAGACTTAGGAGCCCTATGGCCCTATGGAGCCAGGGGAGATTTCAGAGCAGAAATGGGACATGCCAGGGCAGAGGCAGGGGTGAGAAGGCAGCTGAGGGCCCCGGGGGTGGTCCTACCTGGCAGTCCATAATGGTCTCCTCCTCCTTCAGCTCAATCTTCTTCTCCCCCGTCTCAGCACACAGTAGTGCCTCAAGGACCGGCCCTTCTGGAAGGCCGCCCTCCTTCTTCAGGGGAGCCTCACAGTCTGGGGACAGGCCATGGAGGGGGTCAAGTGGGGCAGGTGTCCCTGGAGGACTCCTCAAACTTCCCAAGTTGGGGAGCCATGCTGGAAGGAAGAGGCTTTCCCACATTCACAAGCAACAGACTCAAAGATTCAACCCTACATACTGGGAAGGATTCCCAGGCCCTGGGAAAGACACAGCCAGATCCTCAGATCCATTCAGACACACTCAGGAGGAGACCCCAGCAGGACCCTTAATAACACCTGGCCACATATGGAGAGATAAAGACACCCTCTGAGATAGCTAACACACAAAGGAAGAGATACACCCAGACACATGGAGGAGACACATCCAGACCCTTGGATACACCCAGAGACACTCAGAAAGACAGCATTAGACTATCAGAAATACCAGACCCACATGGGAGAATACAGCCAGACCCTACCACACACCTGGACACACATGGGAGAGATACAGACATGCTGAGAGAATCACTCAGAAGATTCACATGGACACACACAGGAGAGATATACAGACAGTCCCTCTGAGGTAGTCAGACACCCCCAGGAAGACACAGCCAAATGGACACTCCAATTGATCCATAAAGACCTTGGATATAACCTGGACCAAGGAATAGAAACAGCCAGTGACTCTAATAGTATGGGACACGTTCAGGAAGTAATAAGGCCAGACGCTGATGAGCCAGCACACAAGGGCAGAAATACACCTAATGCGCCCAACACCAAGAGAAGAGATTCTCCCAGACATCCCAAAGCATCTGGGCACCCAAAGGAAGAGACAGCAGGACACCCTGATAGACCCAGACACACTCAGGAAGAGCAGTATACTCTGATAAACCAGACACACACAAGAGGAAGTAAACCTCCTAATAAATACACTTGAAAACACCTGGAAAGAGATGCACTTAGATCTCCTCTACTTCAAATGGAAGTTTCATTCAGACACTGACACACCCAGACATACTCAGGCACCCACAGGAAGAATATAGCCAGACACTCATACATCCTGGCTCACAGGGAAAAGATAGACTCATACACCTAAACACACATGACTGATACAGCTCTGCCCTCGAATACACCTGGACGCACCTAGGATATGATACAGTTCAAGCTCAGTCAGGGAAAAGTGGAGAATCTCTGACTACACCCAGACACACACCCTCAGACAGGCAACCAGGCACTCAGACACTCCTAAGGAGGGAAATAAAGGTGAATGAATGCTCAGACACACACTGGCACCACACACTTGGAGCACGTACTGGGGGCACTGATGGGGACCACCCCAGGCTCAGGACCAAGCTCCACCCACCGATCTTGTACTCGCAGGGCCGGAGCCTGGGGTCCTCCAGGATGTTGAGTCTCCGTTTCTTTCTCCAGCAGCGGGCGGGGTAGGTGTAGATCTGTCCCGGAGCCAAACCTGGAGTGAGGAGGGCAGTGAGAGCTGAGAACGCTCCGCGAAGCCGCCGCCCCGCCCCGCCCTCCCTGCCTTACCAGGCCCGCGATGGGTCTTCTCCATCCAGATGTAGCAGTTGTTCTGGGCCACGCCGGTCTGCGAGTCGAGGAAGGGCAGGCGCAGGCTGCGCTCGGCGCACAGGCGCGCGTTGTAGCTGCGGCAGTGCTCGATGGCTTCGCGGTAGAAGTCCTCGCCTAGGCTGCGAGGGACGGTGAGTAGGCGGGCGGGCGGCTGTCAGCAAGGGCCACAGCGCCTGGGCGCCCGGCACCCCTCCCCCAGCCCGCCCGTGGGGAATGGGTGGGCCGAATTCTCCAACCTCACCTCTCCCCTCCTGCCGCTCTTGGACCCAGGAGCCCCCAACCTGGGACTCAGCCGGCCTCGAGCCAACGAGTAGATACAATACGGAGACAGACAAAATTTCACCGGGACACCTCCATATGCACAGATCCAAACACACAACACAATCACACATAGTCACTCCGGATTCACACACAAAGAGAGACATACCAAAGACTCACAAAGGAGAAACAGACAAATCTCACAAATGTGTACACACAAATATCTACTGAAAGACACAAATATCCCAAGTCATATAGTGTAGAAACAGTTGACACATGTATTTATGCAAATACACATTACACATCCAAAGACACCCAATATAAGCAAATCACCCACACAAAGATATACCACATACAGACAGATCAGACACACTACACCAGACACACACACACACACACGCATCCAAAGACACACAGGTACACAAATGTTAAAAGAAATGTTAAACTGCTTATTTATGCACTTACACACATTCGAAGACACAACATACTCACACAACACACAATATCCACATACACTACACACACAAAAAAATTACAGATTTACACAGGATAGACACACACATTCACAGATACACAATATAGAAACCAACATCTAAAATACCACATATTCAAACACACAAAGATACATACATGCAACATACAAAAGCACAAATCCACCGAAATTCACACAAATATTTTCACATAAATCCATGCATACCTACATATCCAAAGGCACAGAATACAAATGATGCACAGTTTCAAAGAACATGTACACATATTCAAAGACCCAAATATCCAGATATCTAGTGTAGAATAAAAGGAATGAAACACATATCTACACACATATCCAAAAAACCAGAACACAAACAAGTGACACACACTTCACATCCCAAAACAAAGGTAGTATGCGTTTCACTCAAGTTTACTAGGGCCCCCGCATCCCCAGGCCATTTCACCCTCTCCGCAGCCCCGGGAGTCGTAGGGCGGGACTTGACCCTCTTTCCCGAAGAGAACCCGAAGAGGACTCCGAGTTCCCCACACCCTCAGCTCCAGGAGCAGCGCGTCGGACACTGTACTTGCCAGAGACCCATATCCACACACACTCGCACCCCCGCGCAGCCCGGCCCGCGGTGACAGCCCCCCAGGCACCAAATCGGCCCCACCCCCAGCCGCCACACACACACACCCGCCCGCGCAGACCCGCCCGCGAGCCTTCCCCCGCCTCCCGCTGGCCCGCAGCACCTCAGGGGGCCGGGGATGACCGTGGCCATCTTGCTCCCCGGGTCCTGCCCCCAGCGGGTCCCCGCCGGGTCGGTCCTCCCAGCGCTCGGGCGGGCGCTGAGGCCGCCCATCCATTCATTCCCGAGGGGCGGGAGCACCGGAGCCACAGCCAATGGCGACGGCGGGGCGGGCCCGCCCGGGCCATGCTGGGAGTGGTAGTCCCAGGCCCTGGGGCGGGTTGACCCCTCAGGAAAGGGTACAGAGGAGGGGCCACGAGGGCGCAGTCTCTCACCAGCGCTCCTGCACAGCAGCCTGGCCTCTCGGGCAGACGCTCACACACGCACACCCGGACTCGCACGCACCAGCAGTTAACACGTTCACACATATACTCTCAGCCTCCTACGTAGACTCACGCACACTCCCATTCCCACCTGCACACAGGCTCACATACATTTACACTCACACAAACACTTCAATGTTAGGAGACCTAGCAACACTTTGCAGGTGTCCCACCACACAGATGTCCCACCAACATGCCCGCGCTCACACACACACACACAGACGCCTGGCTTACTGACACCGCCCCCTCGCCACCTCCCTACGTCCTCCTGGCTCTAGGAGCCCTGTTCCGTCCCACTCGGGGCTGTCATTCACACAGTGACCCCGCCCTGCTCAACCCCTTCCGCAGGCCTGAGAGCAACAGGGATAGTTAGGAGCTGAAGCCACAACTTCTGGGTTGGACCCTGATTCTTGACCTAAATTTTCTGGACCTCGGTTTTCACATCTGGAAAATGAGGATGATTTTAGAATCCTGTAAAAATTGGATTGTTGTGAGAATTAAATGAGCACATATGGTAGTATTTTTAAAGGTACCTGGCAGATAGTAGTTGTTCAATAAATTCATTCATTCCTCAAAGAGGATCTGAAATGTATTAAGATGTAAAATGGTGATACCAAACCGTTATTACAAAGAATAATGCCTAGCACATAATAGATACTCTGTAACTACTTGTTGAATGAATAAATACACTGAGTACCCACTAAGTGCCAGTAACAGTTCTAAGTACTTTAACAGGGATCGACTCATTAAATCCTCAAAATAACCCTTTAGGGGTGGCACTATTATTACCCCATTTTCCAGATGAAGAATCCGAGGCACAGGGAGGTGAAGTTACACACCCCCAGCCCCTGGTGGCTGTTTGAAGGCGGGCGGGCCTAAGGGAAGGATTCACCTGCCCAGATGTCTGTACCCAGCTGAGCCTTCTCTCATTCTCTCTCCCACTGCCACACTGACTCTACCCTACAGGATCTGGGGGGAGAGTGAGCTGACCCACTGAGTCACAACATTCACCCAGCCCCATGTACACATACAAGGAACCCCCTAGTACAAAGTTTATGTTCAAGTGTGAGCCCCTGTTGTGGGCTCACAAATGTCCACACACACACACACACACACAAACACACACACACCTCAAGTCTTAGACCTCTTCCACAAACTGTCCCCCATCTTTCCCCAGTAAGGCCTGAACCTTCCCCCTCCCTGCTCCCCAGTGAGAAGGAGTGGGTTTCTGCTTCACATCAGGCCCAGAGTAGGTGGCAAGGGGAGTAAGTCAGGGACACTGGCGTTCTCTTGCTCACTCTGGCCTCCGGACCCTATATCTCATCCCCAGGAAGCCCCACCCCCAGGTACATCAGCTCAGCTCACAGAGTGCCCTTGCCACCTTCCTTTCTTACCCTCACCACCCTCACCGATCCCCCAACACACCCTTACTTGCTCCCCACACCGGTGGCCTCAGGCCCTTCACTCTTGCCCCACCCAGAACCCTTGCATCAATGTGATCAGTTTGAAGTCTGAGTGAAGAAAACTCCATCAACTCCCTAAGAACCTTGTCCACCAGCACCATTTGACCCACAGACACAGGGGCACCTCTCCCTTTCCTTACCCATGGTAACCTTCACTACTCCCACACTTGAACTCTCTTGCCCAAACAATCCTCTTATCCCCACCTCCAGTGTGCCAAGCAGAAACTGGATCTCAAGTGAAGTCAGAATTGATGCTGCTACTAACAATCACTACATTCAGTCAGGGCTGGCTGTTCTTCCCAAAGATCTCTAAATGCTTTACAAAGATCACAACAGCCTCATGAGGGAGTAAGAACTGTTACAATTCCCCAATTCACAGATGGTAATACTGAGGTTGAGGGTGGGTGGAATTAATGACTCAAGATGGAGTTTGAGCTCAGGCAGCCAAAACTCCTGAGAGCCGCACCCCCCAGCCTCCACCCACAAAGGGATTTGACTCTCACATTCTTCACCCTCACCCCTTCAGACAGACCCCTTGGAAGGTGAGAGCTAGGAAGGGAGCTGGCACTCCCACCCCAAGGCCTGCTCTGGCTTCCAAGTCCCAGCAATGGGCTGTCCCATACCTCCTCCAAGAGGGCTGAGCAGTGTCAGAATGAGGAGGCCTGGGTGCACATAGATCCACCAACCTGCAGAAGAACCTGGTCCCAGCCAGTTCGAGGGCGTCCCTCATATGAGAGACATCTGTCTGTGTGTGAGACTTAGAGTGAGAAGGAAGCAGCAGCGTGTCCCCATCACACACCGTCCCACACTTGACCCCAGCCCCACACACACCCTCCAAGCGTTCTTCTGTTCTCGGTAAAGCCGCACGTGCAGGCGCGTGCCTATAAGCCCACGCCCCCCTCCTCTCCCAACATCCCCCGCCAGAAACCAGAAGCAACTGGGGCTTTGGTCCAGCCGCCAGGCACAGCCTGGGGGAGGAGGCAGGCACTGCCGGGCTTCTCCCCCCACTTCCCACCCCCTAGCACACATTGCTCAAGGTCAAGGCTGCGAGCTCACGGGTTGAGGGAAAGGACTGGTTGTGTGTTGGGTTGGGGGTCGCCGCGGCCCCTTTGTGCAGCGCCGCGGGCGTACGCCCTCCACCTCCTCCCGCAGGCCCGGGAGGAGGGGGAGGGGAGCGCCTAGTTCGCCAGCTAGGGAGGGAGGGCGGGAGCGGCCGCACGCCTGTCACTCGGAGCCCGCTGTCACCGCCGGGGTAAGGGGGGTGGGGAGCGCTGAGACCCGGGAGTCCCGGATCCCAAAGAGGGAGTAAGACAGAGATGGAAAGGGAGGGAAGAGAGGTGGAGAGAGCGAGGGATGGCTGGAGGGGAGAGGGATGGGAGAGAGCTAGGCTCGAACCCAGGCGTCCAGGTTCCCAGCCACTGGGCCCAAGAGGAAGCTAACGCTCGGAGGAGGGACACGGACCGGGCGAAAGGGAGGGAATCCCCGGCGAGTGAGAGCGCTCCCGGCACCTTCTCCGGAGGCATCTGGTCCCCAAGGAGATGGGAGATGCTCTCGCTAGATGTGTATGGGCGGGGAGAGGGAGCGATCCCAAGATCTAAGCTGACAGGGGCGTCAGAGCTTCTAAGACCTGAACACCCGGAGAGGAAAAGGAGAGACAGCAGGGATCGAACCGGGGACCCCCGACGTCTCAGGTCCCACCCTGTGGCCCCGCGGGCCGAGGTCCCCGAAGAAAGAGCGAGCGAGAAAGGTGCTTTGATGAAGGGAAAGAGAATGGTGGAAACCCCGGAGACTCAAATCTGGATTTAGGTGTTGGTACCCCCAGCGCCATGCCCGGGCAGGCCCGGCGTCCCCGGAGAGGGAAACCCCTACCCCCATTCTGGGTGGGGAAACGGCCTCCGCCACCCCCCAGCCCGCGCCACATTCCTTCACTGACAGCGACAAAGAAGAGGCGCCCCCGCGACCCCGGAATGGCTCCCGCCCCCAACCTCAGGAGGCGACAACGGGTGGCGGGCCCCCCCCAAGGCGCAGGGCGGCGCGCTGGGGACCCTCATTCAACTACCATCCGCGCGCTGCATCCCCCTCCCCATCGAGGGCGGGGGAAGGGCTCGGTGGGGGGCGGGGGGCGGGGGGAGAAGCTGGATGAAGGGACTTGGACGGCGGGGACACTCACGACTTGAGCGGGTTCTGAATAGCGGTGGCCATGGCCCGCTCGGCTGGGCCGCCTCCAGCCCGAGGCGCCGCTGCCGCCGCGCGCGGGCCCAGCCCGGCCTGCGCCGCCCGCTCTGCCGCCCAGCGCGCTACGATTTCATTCATTCTTGGGGCTGCGGCGCGAGCCGAGCGGGGCGGGCCGGGGGCGGGGCTCGGCCAATCCCCGCACCTCCCAGCGCACCACGGGACGTGGAGTCTAGGGGCGCTCGGCGGCGCCCGAGGGCGCCCCCGTCCGGACTACACGTCCCAGGGGGCGTCGGGAGGGCCGCGCACCCATTGGCTCCTGGGGATACAGGGCGGAGCTGGGTTTGCTCCAGAGCATCCTTCCCTCCTCCCCGGGGGTGCTCCAGTCCCAGCCCAGGCTCTGCATCCTCCAGGCACCGCGGGCGCAGGAGCAGGTGGTCCCTGGCTTCTGGGTATCCTCAGGGTATGGGGACGACCCAGGGTCTGTCGTGTGTTCTTGTCCATGCCTGTTCTTCGTGTAAGCCAACACGGGGGTTGATCAATGCCTTTGTTCCTTTATTAAGTGCCTTCTTTGCACCAGGCCCTCTTCTAGGCACTGGGGATACAGCAGTGACCAAACTGACAAAGTCGCTGCCCTCAAGGAGCTGACCTGTTTAGTGGAGAAAGGTAGGTGATAAACAAGAAAATAGACAAGATCATTTTGAGAGTGGTAAGTGCTAAAAAGAAAGTGGCTTCAATGAGAAAGTGACATTTGACCTGAGACCTGAGAAGCTGCCATCTATGCAATAGGAAGGGCAGGGCGAATTCAAAGAACATTAAGAGAGCTAGTGTAACTGGAGTGGGGCAGACAAGGCTGGGGAGAAAACGAGGACCCAGATCATGTAGGGCTTTGTAGGCCAATATAAAGAAAATGGATTTTGTTCTAAATGCAATCAATCACTGACTCGTCTTTTTCACACACACACTAAGTCCACCAGCAAATCCTGTTATCTCTATAGTCAAAAAATAGATCCAGGATCCATTCACTCTTCTGCTTCACAGCCTTCACCCTGGTGCTGTCCATCATTTTCTCCTGCCTGGACAGCTCCTTCGTCTGTTTTTTATGGCAGCCAGAGTGGGCCGCCTAAAAAACCTCCAGTGGATTCTTTCACAGTTAAAATTATAATGCAAAGTTCTCACTGTACCTTCAGGGCCCAACTCATTCCCTCCCCAAGCACATCACATTTATGACCTCTTCTCCCTCCTTTCTTCCCTAACTTTGTTCCAGTCACACGGGCCTCCTCCCTGTTCCTGGAACATTCCAGTCCTTCTTCAGCCTCAGGACCTTCGTACATGCTGTTCACTACAATGCTCTTTCTCCTGAAACCTGCGTAGCTCCATCCCTCACTTCATTCAGGTTTCTGAGTAAATGTTACCTCCTTTGAGACAACCTCAGTTAAATAGCATCCCCCATAATTTCTGTCCTCTCACATTCTCCCTTCTTCCAACACTTATCATAGTTTGTCATCATGTTATAGACCTATTTAGTTATCTGATTTATTGTCTTACTCCACCAGTTAGAGTATCAGCTCTGTGAGGGCAGCGATGATTGCTGCCTCCCGGGTGCCTAGAACAGGGCCTGAAAAGTAGTAGATGCTCAATGATTATTGAATAAATAAACAGATCAATTAGTCATCATGCTCCGTGTCTCTTCCAACTGTCTAGCTCTTGAGGCAGGCATGCAACCAAGCACGGAGAGAGTAAAGTGGGCTCCAGGCTGTGCACTCCCATACACAGACACCTAGACAACCTTAAGGGGTGGAGGTTAAGGGCTATATTCAGAAAACCTTCCAGCAGAGGGTCTGGAGCTAAAAGTCAAAGAGATGGCAGAGGTTAACAGTCAGGATTACTTGTTTCTATATAGTCCCAACGTTTGGTCCTTCTCCTAACACTGGGTCCCAAAGATTTGTCCACTAGAGGGTACTGTGGCTCCAGTCCTTGTCAACACAAGGCCGTTCCTGAATATTCACACCCAGGGTCACCCTGTTGATGGTGGGACCGTGAGAGGAGATATGGGCTCACCCACCCTGAGCCCCCGTCCCCACCCAGCACCTGGTCACCAGGGCCTGAGCCCCTCCCCTCCTGTGGAATTGCTAGGACCCTCTCTGTCGCAGAACCCTGAGACCCCAGCTGGGCCTCTGAGAGAGACACTATTGCCAACCCCCACCCTACCCCACTAATCTTCAGAGGATACAGCTCTCCCCTAAGTTGCCCTTGGATATTGAGTCATGACCTTCAGAAGTCTCCTGCCCAGATGGAGATACAGAGGAGGTAAGGCTGGGGGATCACACAGAAGCAGGGCAACAACAAGAACGATTAACAGCAATAACACCAATACCCAAGTTCTCACTGATTGGGCTCTTCCTGTGTGTCAGGGCCTATGCTGAGCTTCTTGCAGGTTTTGCATCACTGCACTGTACAGACCACCCTTAGGAAGCAGGGCTTATCAGTTCAGCATCAAAGGAGGTGACTTAGGCTGAGGGACAATACCCTCACCAAGGGCCTTCCTCCCCATCAGGACAGGAGAGTGAGGATTTGAGCCCAAATCTGACTCAGAAGCTAACCTCAAGCCTGTTCTATTCTGAGGGCATTTGCTGACTTCCTGTGCCGGAATCTGCTCTGGCCCTCAGTGAAAATGCCTTCCATACCCACTCCCTCGCTTCGGTCCTAGGGATTCAGGGTTTCTGAACAAAGACTGAGACATGAGAAAAGGGGGAAAGTCCTTAGGTGGAGAGTCAGGCTTAGGGACAGCTGATCCCCTGTAACAGGAGGAGGTGATGCATGTAGAGCTAAAGTCAGGAGGTGGGAGATTGAAGACAAGGACGGTCTCTTTTATGCTTGAGCAAAATAAAGTGAGAGTGAGGCTAGGAGAAAGGAGAGAGGAGACTGGAGCAGTCAGTGGGGGCGTGGGAGCCCGACCAGACAAGGGGACAGGACAGCACTGAGGGAGATGGGCCCTGGCCTTGAGGGGTGGGGAGGGAGCTTAACGCTGGAACTTGTATTTCCTCAGAGCTTGCTCACAGGCATGGAGTAGAGGGCAAGGTCAACTTAACTAGGTTGGGGTTTTCCCAAGTGAGAATAATAAATAAGAGAGGGACAAGGGAGGAACAACCTAAGACAGGCACAGTCGCAGGGGGGCCATCAGGTAAGAAATTGGAGATCAACAGAGGTGAGGCTTAGAACCTCACCCCCACCCCCCGTTTTGAGAGAAATCTTCTGCATCCGTGGATGTTTTGTTGCCCTTGTCTAGCTCGGATTAATACTTAGTCTATAGGCACAGACCTGATCATCTACATTTGCCCTCTTACAGCACTAAATTATGTTTTCTACCTTTATCTTGCATCTACCTACCACTTCAGCATTTTATTTAAAAAAAA